TACTCTCCATATTGCTCAAAACCTTCAATACAAGTCAGAATTCAACTAGTTTTCAACTCCTAATCTTGCTAGCATCATAAAATTCGTGCAAACAACATCACATTCCACTCAAATCCGAATTTTCAAGGTAATTTTTCTAAAACCACTATTTTATTGATTTTTAAACATATGACTAGTTTTAGTTAGTTCTAGTTCGAAATAGACATCAGGCATTACTTATATTTTGATTGAACACTAGAATCTACAACAAATTTCATCAAAAACACAAAAAAATTCAATTTTTTTTAAAATTTTTGAAATAAAAAAGTTTTGTTTTAATTTTTTGTTTTTGATTTAATTATGTTGGTTTCATGAAAACTATACATATTATGATTTTTCAGACATTGTTTTCAATATAGTTCTCAAAATTGCCCATTATATTATTTTTAGAGAACCTTGAATAATGAGGACTCATATTGAGTTTTGGGATTGATATTGTTTCATACATGTGTTTTCAAATTAACTGTATCCTTATCTCATTCCGATTTAAACCATGTCTCATTCCAAATGACCTAGGACTTTGTCTAGTCGGTCAAACCAACCTCCAAATCCAAACCCAAATGTTCCCGAAATGACTGTCCTAAATTCTTGTTTTAACGAACCCGGCCGTCGAGAAAATCTCTACACTAGGTTTGTTGAACTTTTTGAGTTTTATAATATTCAGGAAGAACATATCCCTTCTATTCAAGCTTTGATTGATATAAAATTTAGATATCTTCATACTCTTCAAACTTAGAAATTTGATAAACTTTTCCAGCTTCAACCTGTCGTTTATCACCAACTCGTCCGCATTTTCTATTCCAATGCAATTTGTGTCCAAAACGAGTCTCAAACTGCCACCGTTAGTATTCAGTCTTATCTCATAGTCTAATACATTCATATAGACTCCGAATCAATCGATAAGATATTTGGTTTAGATAATGAGGGTTTAGATAACGAGAGAGAAATTGTGGCTACCCGTTATAGAGCCAAGGCTAATGTGAGTACGTTGTCAGATCACCACGATCGTTTTCTTCACTTGATCATCTCTTGGTGGTTTAGACCATCCGGAGGTAGATACTCATCTCTTAGATCACTTGACCTTCGGTGGATACATTGTATCCAAAATAATAAGAAAATAAACTTGCCACAAATAATTGTTGCTTAACTAGTTGAAACCATAAACAACGTTCCTTCCAAACATATAGAAACCTTAGTTTACGGTTGTCTTCTTAGTAATTTGTTTATCAAATCCAAGCTTAGGGTCCAGCTTGATATAGCTATCCCTCTTAAAAGCCAAATAAATATCAAAACCTTGCGTAAATCAGGATGGTCCAGGGATAAAGATGAATGGGTTCGTTCAGCCTCGAAAACACCGGGTGCTAGCTCTTCATGAGCTACTCCAGCACCGGCACCGGCTGCTGATGATCAAGAACTTGAAGATCTTCTTTGGGATGTTGATGATCCTGTTAACTTAGCCTAGGACGAGCCGGTCCAGCAAGAGAGTCTGATGCCTCCATATTTCTGATCGTTCATGGAGACATTTGACATGAGGTTTGCACTCATATAGTCCCACTTAACCGCTATGGGGACTCAACAATTGGAGAACCAACGGGAGATGCGAGCTAACCATGAAGAAATGAACGAAAGACTCAATGCGTTCACACTAGAAATGGTTGCTCTACGAGCACATTTTCTGCCTCCCGACCCACTAATGGATGACTAAACCTTACCTTGCTCAGTTTTCATAGGTTGAGTTTGAACTTATTATTAAAACATTTTGAATGTTTTGGATTTGTGTGTTTTGGATTTTGGATATGTTTGTTTGAATGGTTTGAATGTTTAATTTGAACTTCATGTTTATATTGATTTCATTAATTTTTACATCATTTACATTTTAGACAAATTATAACCAATTATCATTACACATTTATGAATATTGTTTATGGACTAATGGCTAACAATTCTCTTGATTGTGATCTTAGCATCTAAATCACTATATCTATATAAATCAATTGTCTATTTTTCTTAAAAACTTGTTTAAAAACGTTTTTTTATATAGCCTTTTTGATTTAACAAAAAGGGAGAGAATAAAGTAAGGGGGAGTATTTTTTTCAAAATTGATTTCAAAAACTGATTTTCAAAAAGAAAATCTTAAAATTACTAAAATATTTTGTTATATCAAAAAGGGGGGATTGTTGAAAACATTTTGATGTTTCGATATAACAAAAAAGTACTATTGAATTTTAAGATTTTATATTCGATTCAAAATTATATATTCGATTAAATTATTCGAATATAAAAATATTACTCCATGTTTTCAAATATCAATTTTAATCCTTACTTAAGTGTAAAATTGTGTTTTACTCTTAAAATATTTTTGAAACAATTTTTACAAAGTATTTCAAACCATAATCGAGCCAAAAATAAGTTTTATAAAGGGAGGTACTGATACACTTCTATATGTACCGATACACCCAAATTTCGAATGAAATAAGGGTACCCCTACATAACCAATGTACCGATACACTTCAGGCTCCGAGAAACATCGAATGCAATTAGTGTATCGATACCCTTGAGAGGTACCGATACATTTGGTCAAATAACGATCGAAATATTTGAATTTTATATTGAGTGTACTGATACCCTTTGATGGTGTACTGATACACCTACGCTCCCAACAGATTTTTAAAATGGAAAACATACAACAATGGCTCTATTGACTTCATCAATGATCCCCAACGTTCAGAAATAATCCAAGGTGTATTTAAACAAGTCTTGAAGCCATTGATCAACAAGAATTGAGACAGAATCAAGAGAGAAATCATCAAACCTCAAGTTTGAGAAATACAAGCCAATTTTCCTTCAATATTCATTTTACTTTCAAGAACACATTTTGTGCTCTATTGTATTAATCTTTGAGTGTTCTTTTATTGTTCTAGAATTATGCAAACAATCTACATTGTGAGGTTTTTCTGTAAAGTTTGTGAAATTTGTAATTTTCTTTAGGAGAGAGTGTTATCAAGAATTTAGGGTATAATTCTTGAGGGAGTTGTAAGGTCACTCTTTGTCCTCAAAAGAAAGACAAATTAGTGAATTTGTGGAAAATCCTTAGTGTGGATAGATAAGGTAGTGGACGTAGACTTTGATTGAGAAAGTCAAACCACTCTAAATCGTTGTGCAAATATTTTTAATTTTCTGTCAAAGCTTACACCGAAATTTTTATTGTCAATTCACCCCCTCTTGGCTATTTCGTCAATCGATTAACTCAACAGAGTGGCCCTGAGGCACTAGCTTTCAAGTTGGGAACCAATCACTTCTTTACGGGTACAACCGATGGTAGAATTCTGAAATATCATGGTCTGGCCATTGGCTTTGTCGACTTCGGATATGCTGCTCCTAACATGTTAATCTTCTTCTCTATGAATCCCACATAGATTATATCATTTTCAACATGTGAAATGTTTTCTGTGTAGATTGATAACTGTCGGTTTGCTATCAAAATAATTTCGGCTTCTTAATAAGTAAAAAGTGAGAGTAGAATAGAGAAGCATAGTCGATCTACAGGGACTTTGTTTTTTTCTGATTTAGTGGACTTTTTTGATTTAGATGAATATATAATTTCAAATAAAGATAAAAAGACAAGAATAAAATAATAAAATAAATAAATATAATTCGTTTAAAATGGAAGATAAGGATAAAATAATAAATAATAATTATAATAAAATGATAAAGATAGAAATTGGGTTTTTAAATTGTTTAAAGAAATAAAATGAGATAAAAATTAAATAAACAAACAAATAAATAAAATAAGTTGATATAAAGAAAACTTATGGTAAAAACAGCCTTAGGCTTCAGCTTTGCCTCAAATTCCTCGGATCATCGAAATAGATCTTTACTTCAAGATTCAAGTCGGCTACTTGTCTACAAGGACAAATTCTTGCAACTATGCTTTGTATACCGGATATCCAAGTGCAATCTTTAATTTCGGTTTGTGAGTTGATCTAAGCAACAACAATGTTATAGATCTTAAAACGTTGAAGTTCGAAAAACTGCCTACTCGGATTATGTTGTTTCAACAATAACTGATTCCGATCTCAGTTTCCTCTTAGCAAACAATTTTGCTAATTGTGTTCACAGGAAGTCAAATGTGCTTCAATAAGCCGATCCTTCCTCCCACGTTAACCATAATAACATCCAGACCAACACCGACTTTTGGTTTTGAAAACCGTTTTGATTTGAAAATAAGCTCAGAAAACAAAGAGAGATATCTGAAGCGATTTAAGTGCATTATATTCTCACGTTTGTAATTGAGCCTTCGCTTTAGCCTTCGGCTTAAAAGAAAATTAGCTAAGTATGACCAAAGTCATAGTTAGCATATTTGAAAACAAAACTTTAAAATAAAATAAAAAATTTCGAAAACTTGAAAGGAAATAAAAGAGAGAATTTTATAAAGCTAGAGAGAAGAAGAAGAGTAAATTCTCAGTTGTGAGAAATATGTTTCTAGGCTTATTGTGAGAGGGTACTTATAGTCTTAAAAATCCTAAAAACAAAGTAAAGATAATTCCTAAATTAAAGAAGAAAATTCTAATTAAAATACTTAAAAATATTTAAACTAAAATACCTAAAACAAAGATAAGATAAAATATAATATTTAAAATAATATCCTAAAACATGAGTTTAATTCAAATCCAAATTGTAGAAACGTGCGGCTGATCCATTTGTTCTTCTAGAAGCGTTGACTGGACCTTCTAGAAGGTGCTGAAGTCATCGCCACGTCAGATGCTTCATGTCCAAAGTCATGCCCACTAATCCAACTTTGATTTCGAAAATTAGAAAAAACTGCATAATTCCGTCCTTTTACTGTAATTTCCAGAATCAAGTGTCTGGCACAGAAAATGAATCAAAACGAACAAATAAACCATAAAAACCAATGATTAAGGAGTAATTTAAAAGCAAAATATTAACTAAATAAAACACTTATGTCGCCGTCAAAGTGCGATGACATGCGTTTCGACAATTCAGATAAAGATTGTGGAATGCCATTCGGGATGGCGTTGCACCACCAGACGAAAATGTTGTATGTCTGCGATGCGTTTTTCGGATTCGGTGTCTTGGGTCCCGAAGGAGGATTGGTAACAATACTTTCCACCATGGCAGATGGCGAACCTTACCGATCATGTAACACTGTTGATGTCCATCAACCAACTGGAAATGTCTTTTTCACTGATCACATGCAAGTGCTGTCTACAATATAAGGTTCAGCAACCTTTAACTCTCTTTTCTCCGGTTCTTCATTTTTCTTAAAATAACGATTCCTCTAATCATGCAGACAGTTCAAAACAGCGGTGAGTGTTAACGATTCGACGGGAAGGCTATTGAAGTACGACGCTAAAAACAAGCAAGTGACAGAGTTGTTTAGGAATCTTTCATTTGGTGCCTCTGCTATTATATTGTAACAGTTTTTCTGCTCCTTTTGAGTAATAAAGTTTTTGTAATTATCCAAATAAATAAAAAACACAATACAAATAATATAAGAGCATACCAGAAGTTTATATAACGTAAATTATTAATTTGTCAAAAATATGTAAATATAAAAAATAGCTTCACCATAATTATGAAACTTGAAAATGCATGAAGATAATATGGAACTCGAGACTTCATGATGGAAAAAGTTGGGTTGTGATACTTTTCGGCGGTTCATCATTTTTAGTTTGGATATAGATCTCGTGGTTGATTATTTGATGGGAGTAGAGGTAAGCGTTCGATCGGATCGAGTCGTGTAATTTTTTTTTGAGTTATTCGAGTTGACGAGTCATATTTTAAAACTTGATATTGATTTAAAATTTTTCTAAGTCGAGTTATTAGAGTTTCTGTTTAAATTTAATTATAAATATATATAATATTATGATACTATTTGATTCCAATTTAAACAATTTTCTATAACCATATATAATACATATATATATTTCTTTATATTTTTTTTCATATGTGATATACATATATCATACAAAGTCGAGAGAATCGACTCAAACATGAAAATCAATTCACTAATTACTAAAAATTTTGAGTTATTCGAGTTCTATTTTATAGCTCGATTTGAATTTAATTTTTTTTTTGAGTTGAGTCGTATTTATGAAATTACAACTCAAAGTTAATTCGAGTCGAGCTTTTTCAAATCGAATCGAGCTTTTTCGAATCGAGTCGAGTCGAAAAGATTGATTTTTCGAATCAAGTCACGTTTTGCTCACCCTCTAGATGATAGAAAAATAGAGAGAAAACGAACTAAAGACGACAATGAATAGTCATCTAGAGAGGGAAAGAGCTCGAGAGAAGTTCCCGCTTTGAGCCTTGCACGGTGACTTATATACAAGTCCTTGGTGCTAGTGTCAGGCTTAGAGTGATGATGACTATTTGCATGTTGGTAGGCTAAGTAGATTTGACTGTCAGATAGTAAATTGCAGAGCACATGAGTCTGTTAGTGATCACGTCAAAGTGTTGTAGTTGTCCTGAGTATATAGAGTTCCAAAGGCTTTGAGAAACTAGAAATCTTATGGCAATGTATTTTCAATGTTTCGATGAGACAATGAGGAGAACGATAACATCTCGATGCTTTATAGGAATAACGGATAAATTCTTATAGTCGTAGCGAAGATATCTTAACTCTCTTTGGTTGATCATTAGAGAGAAAACAAAAAAGTTCATTTAATTAGGGTGGAACGAAGACATCTCAATGCTTTCTGCTAGAAAGAAGTCAACTCGACGCCCTTTGGATAAATGCTACAGAACGGAGGCGTCTCCACGCTTGTTGCAGCATGGTTTCAAATAAGAAATTCCTAAATCTCCATGCTATAATAAGAAAATTTTGATTAAAACATCTTTAATCTGATCAACCAATCCTATAAGTTTTCTTCATCGTTGTTACCTGATAAACACGGTGTAAACGTAACTAGTAAATTTCTTATAGATATAGAACATAGCATTACCACAGCTATGCTACAAATTCCTTGTAAATAACGTAAGCCTAATAGCATCAAAACAAGATAAATAGCAGATTTCTTGAAAATGAAAAGAAACCCTATATGATCATGAGAACCGAAACTATAACAGCTCTCATCTTCGTCTTACTATTTGGTTTTGTTTCAGCAGTTTCATTTAGCAAGATTCAACTGCCGAGAAATGCGAGTGGGCCTGAGGCACTTGCTTTCGAGTTGGGAACCGGACACTTCTTTACGGGTGTAGCCGATGGTAGAATTCTGAAATATCAGGGTCCTTCAGTCTATCTGTTGAAATCATTTTGATATTTCGGTATAATAAATAAAGTGTTAATTAATTTTAAGATTATATATTCGATTTAAATAGTACATTCAATTCAATTATTCGAATATTACAAATATTACTCCAAGTTTTAAAATGTCATATTTTACTTTTTACTAAATGAAAAATTGAAATTTATACTTAAAATATTTTTGAAACAATTTTTACAAAGTATTTCGAATCATAATCGAGTCAAAATTAAGATTTCAATAGGTTAGTACTGATACTGTGTTAACAGTATCAATACCCCCAAACATCGAATATCGATACCCTACACGGTATCGATACCATTATATATAGTAGTACCGATACCATAGTTAATGGTACCGATACTACCCCTTTGGTTTTGACTCCGAATTTAGCAGAATGCAAAACGGGTACCGATACCATGTTAGGTATCGATACTAATTTACATAGTAGTATCAATACTCCCTAGACAGTATCGATACCGTTGGTTTGCAACGGTCGAAATATTTGAATTTTATACACGTAGTATCGATACCCCAATGAAAGAGTACCGATACCCAGACGCTCCCAGCAGACTTTTCAAGTGAATTTCACACTACAACGGCTCTAGTGACTCCACTATGATTCCCAACGTTTAGAATTCATTCAAAGTGTATTTAAACAAGTTTTGAAGCCATTGGTGATTAAGAATTTAAAAAAGAGAAGCTAGAGAAACAAAAGAGAAAGCCTTAAACATCAAGTTTGAGCAATTCAAGCCAATATTCATTTTGCTTTCAAGAACACAATTTGTGCTCAATTGTATTCATTTTTAGTATTCTTTCTTTGTTCTAGAATTGTGCAAACATCTTACATTGTGAGGTTTTTTCTTCTAAGTTTACGAAATTTGTAATTTTCTCTTTGGAAGAGAGTGTCTCAAGAATTTGGGGTATAATTCTTGAGGGAGTTGTAAGGTTACTCTTTGTCCTCAAAAGAAACACAAATTAGTGAATTTGTGGAAAATCCTTAGTGTGGATAGCTAAGGTAGTGGATGTAGACTTTGGTTGAGAAAGTCGAATCACTCTAAATCGCTGTGCAAATTATTTATATTCTGTCAAAACTTCCACCAAAATATTTAATTGCCAATTCACCCCCCTCTTGGCTAATTCATCCGATCGATTGACTCAACACTATTCATAAGACCTACGGGTAGGATGTTTCACATGATTTTCAAAAGATAAGAAAGTGATTTCTAAAGTTTCTCATTTAAATCTTGTGTGAAAATTGAAATTTTTGAAAAAAAAGAGAAACCAATTTCCAAAGTTTCTTATCTAGTAAACTATTTCCAAAATTGGTAAGTCATTTGAGCCATCAGTAAGTCTTTCGAGCATGAGGATTAAATCATTCGGGTCATCTATAAGCCTTTCGAGCAAGATGATAAGCCCTTAGGGCCATCCATAAGAACTTCGGGCGGGATGTTTTCACATGATTTTCAAAATGATGAGAAAACGATTACCAAATTTTCTCATTTAAATATTTTTTGAAAATTGAAATATTTGGAAAGTAAGAAAACGATTTCCAAAGTTTATTACCTAGTAAACTATTTCTAAAATTGGTAAGTCATTCGGGCCATCAATAAGTCTTTCGAGCATGATAATTAAATCTTTCGCTTAATCTATAAGCCTTTCGAGCAAGATGATAAGTCTTTCGGGTCATCCATAAGACCTTCGGGCATGATGTTTTCACATGATTTTCAAAAGATGAGAAAACGATTTCCAAAGTTTCTCATTTAAATCTTTTCTGAAAATTGAATTTTTTGAAAAAGTAAGAAACGATTTCCAAAATTTATTACCTAGTAAACTATTTCCAAGATGATTAAGTCATTAAGGCCATGTAAGTCTTTCAAGCATAATGAATAAATCATTCGGGTCATCTGGTAGTATCACTTGAGACAACATTAAGGTGGAACCGAACAAAAACACATCTTTTTTTTTATCTTTTCCCTATTCTTGTTAACACAAACATGGGCAAACAGGGGCAGCTGTAGACACCCATTTTGTCCGGGGTTTTAATTTAACTATTATTATTATTATCATTAATTATTTTTATTTTATTTTATTTTATTTTATTTTATTTTTATCTTATTTTGCAGGTTTTACAAGCCCAATATTAGGCCCAATTACAAGGGGTCATCCAACCTAAACTGATCCAAATTGAGGCCCAAACAACCTAGTAGGCCCAAACCCACATCAATTAGGGTTTTTTTTTAAAACCCTAACTCCCCAAGACATGCCGTTGCCGCCTCTTCCACTGCCAACTGAGTAGATCTGCGCCACCGCTGCTTTCGTCGTCGCTTTGACAACCCGAAGATCCCTTTCCTATTTCAATAAATCATCATCATCTCACATTAACAGTGGAAGGCACCAAACCATCTAACCAAACCCATTAAACAAATAAAAAATCCCTAAAAACAGGATCTGGTTTTAGGGAAAACATTCCCCTATGTCAAAGGCCTCACCAAATAGGTCACTCTCCCCATTAAAAGACTGAGAAGGAGCATATTCTGGGGGATTTTTCGGTTTTAAAAGGATTGTAAGGCGTGGATATATAAACCTTAAAAAAAGATAGAGGGAGCTCCTAATTCGAACAAGGAGATTGTAAAACAGTTGTTCCCCGATTTTAAAAAAAAATGTAATTTTTCAGTATTTGAAACAATCAATAGCATAAGTTATTTTTTTGTTTATTTTTATATTATTTTCGAAGCAAAAAATGAAGGGAAAAGAGAGGGATTTTACCCTTCGGTAAGAGCATCACCGACGTTTGAAGTCCCCATCACCGCATCCGAACGATGAGGAGAAGTATATGGAGGAGGGGAACCATATACTAAAAACTAGCTCGACCCGACGGTGGACGAAGGAGATCGGAGCTTTGAAAGCTAAAAGGTCATCGACCATTTTCAGGGCATTAGATTGGATCTTGCAAAGCCGTGGCCCAATCCAAGATCCTATGACGAGATGATTGGTCCCCAAAATTTTAGGCCCGAATGAATAAATATTCATTTTAGTCACTGTTTGGATTCTGCTTATTATTTTATTATAATTTGGATTCGATGTTTGATATTTATTCATTTTAGTCACTTTTTGAGACTTTGTTGACCTTCTGCTTTGAATATTTTATTCTGCACATGTTCATTTTAGTCCCTGTTTAAAAGTTTATTTTGTTTATGATTTTGCCTTGTTATTTCATGGGTGTTGTATTTTGGTCCATATGGTTCATCTATTGTTTATTTTCCGTTGTCATGTTTGTTATTTTATTTTTAAAGTTTATGTTTTCTTATTTATAAAATTATAAATTTGATTTATATACTATTTCATGAATTTATTTCATGATTTTAGGATAACATGTTTATATATACATATTTGTACTAAAATATACTATGTTATATTCTTTATATTTCCAAGTTACATGTGTATAATTTTTTTTAAAAATTTACATATTACGTGTATATAATAAAAATTTTATTTATGTTTTTAAATTATTATTTTATTTACATGTTATAATAAGGTAATGTATGAATTAGTTTTAATTAAATTTTTTACCATTAAGTATTATATATTATTATATCTATGTGATGCGTATACATGCAAAGTTTAGGTTCTAAGTTAAATTAAATTGCATGTAGTCCTCATATATGAGCATTTCTTGATTCAATCAAAATAATTTGACTAAGGGTAATATTCGTTCATATTAAGATTGTTGTGAAGTGACTGTCTTAACGTATAAGAAAGTTACTTTCGATAATTTTAAAATGAAAATGTATCCCGTTAAGTGACACAAATAAAATTTGATTACATTTAAAATTTGGGGACCGAGAAAAAGATCATGTTCTTTTAATTAAATTCACTCAGAAAAGACTATTAGATCAAATCTAAGGTCTCATCTCGATGTATTTAAATAATTGAACATTCTTATTCTCATTAATGGTTGGTAAACTAAATGTATTTGTTTGATGTATGTTTGTTATTTTTGTATTTATTTTTAATGGGATTTCCAAAAATAAATAGTAGTCGAATTAATTTTAAGAACAGAGATAGTAATATTTTTTATTTCGCTTGGAGTAATAAATGATTGTTTTAAGGCATGAGTAGTCATTTATTCTCGATTATGTATCGATTCAGGGCTCTGTGGGTGCTAATCCATCCCCATGATTAACTGACTCCAAAACTCAAATTTTGGTAACGCAAACCGTAAAATTTGTTGTTTTAATTAAAATAACAAATATATATTTTGGTGTCCATTCACACCCTAATCAAATATTGATGGTGACTCATCGAACCATGTTTTACTTTAAAAGGAAACACCAAATTATTCGAGACGAATTCTTTTAAAAATCAGATTTTAAAAATTAAATTTGTTTTTTTTTAAGAAAAATCGTTTCTACACCTATAAGTTTTCTTCATCGTTGTTACCTGATAAACACGGTGTAAACATAACTAGTAAATTTCTTATAGATATAGAACATAGCATTACCACAGCTATGCTACAAATTCCTTGTAAATAACGTAAGCCTAATAGCATCAAAACAAGATAAATAGCAGATTTCTTGAAAATGAAAAGAAACCCTATATGATCATGAGAACCGAAACTATAACAGCTCTCATCTTCGTCTTACTATTTGGTTTTGTTTCAGCAGTTTCATTTAGCAAGATTCAACTGCCGAGAAATGCGAGTGGGCCTGAGGCACTTGCTTTCGAGTTGGGAACCGGACACTTCTTTACGGGCGTAGCCGATGGTAGAATTCTGAAATATCAGGGTCCGTCCATTGGCTTTGTCGACTTCGGATTTGCTGCTCCTAACAGGTTAATCTTCTTCTTTATGAATCCCACGTAGATTATATCATTTTCAACATGTGAAATGTTTTTTTGTGTAGGTCGAACTTGACGTGCGATGGCAGTGGCACAGACTTGGCCAGTCTGAATCCAAGTTGTGGAAGGACATTCGGGATGGCGTTGCACCACCAAACGAAATGCTTGTATGTTTGCGATGCGTTTTTCGGATTCGGAGTCCTGGGTCCTGAAGGAGGATTGGTAACCATACTTTCAACCATTGCCGAAGGCGAACCTTATCGTTTATGCAACTCTGTCGACGTCCATCAACCAACCGGAAATGTCTACTTCACTGATGCCAGTGCTGTTTACGATATAAGGTTCCTCAGCTGCCTCTTTTCAACACATGCAAAAATGATCTATCTTTTTTCAACTTTTACAAAAAAGAAAAGATACATTAAAAAACATAAAAAATAACATATATTGACAGGACAATTAAAATAAAAAATAATGTAAATTTACCCACAATTAATATAATCATTACATTGTGTGATGTCATCGAAACTAACACAATCTTTCTGAAAATCTTACACCTGATATCTGGGAATGGACGATGGTGGTATATCTCTTCTCTATAACAAATTTGAAAGAAGTAAGGCTTTAAGAGAATGTTGAAAACTTTGAAAGAAAATTGATTTTTGGATGATTGAAAATGACAAAAAAAGTTTTGATGTTTATAGTAGGGGCGGTAAACAAGTCGAGTCGAGTTCAAGTATTGCTGAGTTCGACTTGATTCGAAAACTTTTAAATAGAATTTGACTCAGTTCGAAAGCTCATGAGCTTAAAATTTTCAAGCTAGATTTGAACTAAAAACCATGAACTGAAGCTCAAAAAAGCTTGAAATCAATTTTTTTCCCCTTAAACTTAACTCGGTTGAAGTTCAAACTCGAACTTGAATCTTTATTATATGAAAATCTTATACTGTATTTTAAAAAAATCAACACATATATGTCAATATTATTAATAATTCAATTTTTTAAAAATAAAATTTTAATATATTATTTTTTCTAGTTACTCGCGAGCTTTTCGAGTCGAGTAGCAAATAGCTCGTTTCGGCTCGTTAAGAACTCAAGTCAAGTCTATTCGAATTAAACTCGAGTAACTCACGATTTATATCGTCTCATTTACTATCCTAATTTATAGGCAGAAAAATTCAACAGAAAACGTAAATTGAGGCTAAATATCGACAACAATAACTGATAAAATTACAATTTTTATAGCAGCTGTAATTAAGAGCTGCATCTGTCCCAAAAATGTCTAAATTCTCAGTCCAACAGTCTATATAACAATAGATTAAATTTTCGAAAATTATGCTGCAAATCATAGCAGATAATATATGGTGATATGCGCGCGAATTTTCTTTAAAAAAAAATAATACGCGTGCGATATATGTCACTTCCCTTCCCAATTGGATATATACTTTTCATTTCTTAAACATTGTCAACAACATAAGTCGAACACTTCGCTAATCTTGCAGACAATTCGAAACAGCAGCAAGTGTTAAGGATTCGACGGGGAGGCTGCTAAAGTACGACGTTGAAAACAAGCAAGTGACAGTGTTATTAAGGAATCTTACATTTCCAGGAGGGGTTGCAGTTGATGAAGAAGAAGAATTCGTCCTAGTTTCCGAGTTCATCGGAAACAGGATTCGAAAGATTCAGCTTCAAGGCCGTAACCCCTACGAATCTGACATCGTAAGCACTCGGCCGATGCCGGATAACATTAAAAAGGCAATATCAGATGGTTTCTGGATAGCAGCACAGAGGATAGATCGATATACACGACCGAGTTTGCAGCCTGTAGGAGAACGGATAAATGCAAGTGGAAATCGTACAGGAACAGTTCATCTTCAGCAATGGTATGCAAATATCATTGTGAGTGAAGTTCAGGAGTTTGATTCTAAGCTTTATATAGCGTCACCGTTTGAGGATTTCATTGGTGTTTATGAGCATTAAAATTGAAAAATCCTGAAACTGAAATTAATATTATGATTACAATCTAAATAATCCTAATATGTCAAACTGGATGGGTTCATGTTTTACCTACTTTTTGTATTAATACGTGGCAAGTATAAAATATTATATGTTTAAAAAAAAATTTAATCATTTGATATTGAACGCTCGTATTCCTAGTATTCTTAGTCCTTGAATTCGGATCCTCAAGAAATAATAACAATTTTTTACCACCGATGTGGCTGGGATTCGTGCTGTTTTACCCACTTTAAAGGCTTTTACAAAAGAGTATCTATTTAGCTGATGAAACTTGAAGTTTCAAATTAGGACAAAACACTATTTAAGAGAAGGTACAAAGTACATGGACCAGATTAATATTTAAACCATTTTATTACGAGAGTTTATTTATTTATTTGAAAAATGTTAGAATCTCAACTGATGCATCAATATAAACTCATCTCACATGAACCTCAAAATTATAATTAAAATAGAGAGACATACTCTTGATTGTGCCCAAGCTCCTCCAATAGCATCTTCAACTAGATTGCTTCTTTACTGGCTTGTGTAGCTACTACATATTCTACCTTTATTGTGGATGTAGCCACAACTGACTGCAATTTTGAAACCCAGCTTACAGCTCTACCAGCAACTTTGAACACATATCCTGTTGTAGATTTACTTTTATCCAAATCCCCTACATAGTCAGAATCGACATACCCATTGATAAGTAAGTTTGATCCTCCGTAACATAATGTAACATTTGAGGTCCCTTTGATATATCTCAGGATCTTCTTTACTGTATTCCAATGCTCTTTGCTTGGATTCGCCATGTACCGACTAACCACTCCCACTGCTTGTGCAATGTTTGGCCTTGTGCATATCATAACGAACATTAAACTTCCCACTGTCGATGCATACGGAACTCGAGACATCTCCATCCTCTCCTCTTCACTGCTAGGACTCATACTGGAGGATAATTTGAAGTTAATAGGAAGAGGGGTAGAAATTGACTTACAATCTTGCATGTTGAATCGTTACAAGATCTTCTTCAAGTAATTCTTTTGTGAAAGACAAATCTTCCTATTACTTCTGTCTCGATGAATTTGCATCCCTAAAATCTTGTTTGCTGATCCCAAGTCCTTCATTTCAAATTCCCTAGCTAGTTGTGCCTTCAATTCTTCAATATGATCTTTGTTGGGTCCTGCAACAAACATGTCATCCACATACAACAACAATATAACAAAATTGTTATCACCAAACCTCTTGAAATAAGCACAAGGGTCTAGATTAAGTCTGTTGTATCCAAGGCACATAATGAAGGAATCAAATCTCTTATACCAACACCTCAACGCCTGCTTTAAATCGTACAGAGATTTGTTCAACCTGCAAACCAAGTTCTTCTTTTCTTTTCTTCAAAACCTTCAGGCTGAAGCATATAAATCTCTTCTTCAAGATTTCCATGAAGAAAAGTTGTTTTCACATCTAGCTGCTCTAGATGTAAATTTAATGTAGCACACATAGCCAATACTACTCGAACTGTTGTTAGTCGAACCACAGGAGAAAAGATTTCATTGAAATCAATACCATCTTTTTGAGCATATCCTTTTACCACCAGTCTTGCACGATACCTCTCAACTTGATCATCACCATTTCGCTTGATTTTGAAGACCCATTTGTTACAAATTGACTTCCTTCCTTGTGGTAGTGGCACAAGGTCCTATATATTATTTTTATGAATGGCTTCAATTTCTTCTTGCATCGCCATCATCCACAGTGAAGCATCTGAGTTATTTATTACCTCCTGGTATGTTGATGGTTCACCGTCCTCTATTAAAAGGTAGTATGCAATATTTCCTTCTATAACATAATCTGAGTGCCAATTAGGAAGTCTTCTCACACGATCTGATTGACGAGTTGTTGGAGATTCAGAACTCTCTGGATCTTGCTCATCATGTGTTTGTTCTACTTCAAAAGAATCTCCTTGTTCAAACTCCTTTTCCACATGTATCTGTGTAGTCTCTGACTTTTCAGCGCTATCACCGTCTTCTTTTCTTTGTAGCTTATCTTCTACAAAGATAACATCCCTGCTGATGATCACTTTGTGGGCAGTGGGATCCCACAAGCGATACCCCTTTACACCATTAGCATACCCCAAGAATTTGCATTTCCTGGATTTTGGATCCAGCTTTGAAATTTCTTGGGAGTTATACATCACGTACACTATACTTCCAAATACATGGAGGTTTGAATAATCAACTAGTTTACCAGTCCACATCTCCATTGGTGTCTTCAGCTCTATTGCAGTTAATGGAGCTCGATTTACCAAATAATAGGCGGTATTGACTACTTCTGCCCAAAATGATTTTTCTAGGCCTGTAGCTCTTAACATTGCTCTTGTTCTTTCTAACAAGGTTATATTCATCCGCTCTGCCACTCCATTTTATTGAGGAGTGTTTGTCACTCTGAACTATCTTTTGATGTCTTCTTTCCTGAAAAAGTCATCAAATTCTTCACTTGTGTATTCTCCTCCATTATCTGTTCTTAAACACTTGATCTTATTTCCATAATCAAGTTCCACCCGCGCTTTGAAGTTTCTGAAAGTTGAAAACGCATATGACTTCTTCTCAATAGGGTACACCCAACATCTTCTGGACTAATTATAAATAAATGAGATAAAGTATTTTGCTCCGCCTAGGGATGTAACTGGTGCTTGCCATACATCAGAATGAACCAATTCTAGAACATTTTTGCCTCTAAAATTTGACATGTAGAATTTCAACCGGTGCTGCTTACTTGTTAGGCAATGCTCACACAAAGTAAGTGATACTTTTGTTAAGCCTGGAAGTAGGGTTGAGCAACGAAACCGAGAAAACCAAAAAATCGTCACGAACCGAGTAAAACGGTTCGGTTCGGTTCGGTTTGACCTTATACGGTTCAGTTTTCGGGTTGGTTAAAAGTCTCAATTATATTGATTCGATTCGGGTTTTCCATATGGAACCCATTTGTTTCATATTGAAACGAATAGATAAATTTTAAAAAAAATTATAGTTTCAAGTGAATTTTTCATTGAAAAACCGATAAACCGAACCAAAAAAATGAACCGTTAAAAAAATTGAACCGAACCGAAAAAATCGGTTTCACATAATTCGGTTTTTTAACCATTCGGTTTCGGTTTAAATTCTAAAACCCGTTATTTCGGTTTGGTTCAATTTTTAGTAAAAACCGAACCAAACCGAACCGAATACACCCCTACCTGGAAGTAGCTTTTGCTCTACAATGACTTTCATTCCTTGTTCTGACATGTGTCTAAGTTTATGATGCCATAGTATTCCAAAATCTGAACTACATGAGATAAAGAGGCTTCTGCTTCTAGCAAAGTCTCTCCCTTCAGCATGTACAAGTTTGCTACTATCTTTTCGCCTTTCATCACCACAAGCGCTCCACGGAACACCTTCATGATTCCTTTCCGTGTTTCAATCTTGCTTGCATTATTATCCAACAATCCGTAGGATAATAAATTTTTCTTCAGGCCTTTCACGTGCCACATCTCGAACAACTTTAATTGTTACATCATACATCTTCAATTTGATGGTTCCCACGCTAATGATCTTTAAGGCATGATCATTGCAACTATACACAGATCCTCCTGGGACAGGTTCATAATGATGAAACTATTCTCTTCTTGAGGTCATGTGATATGTTGCTCCTGAATCAATGAGCCGTATATCTGTAAATCTTTTTCTACCTTCCATGGTGGTTGACGCTTCACAACATAGAGCATCTCCATCATCTGAAGTGTTTGCGGTATTGTCTTGTGGATTGAAGTTTTTATTTAGACTACAACAATCCTTATTCAAGTGACTCTTATTTCCATAGTTGTAGCACTTTAAATTCTTCTTGCTTCCCGACTTTGATCTACCATGTTTGTGACTGTTGCTTGGCCATGTTCCGTTGATCTCATTCTCATCGTTGTTAACGTTTCTGCTTGTTGTAAATTTACTTGTCTGTCTTCCTTGTTCTTGTGTCGATTTTCTTCTTATAGAACAGCAGCTACAACGTCATCGAAGACTAGACTGGTGGCATTACTGTTTGTCAATTTGATGATTCGTTGATCATATGAATCAAGTAGACTTTGAAGTAGAAGTTCAGCACGTTCTTGTTCTACTACTGTACATCTTAGGGATGTAAGCTGAGAAAATAAAGTGTTTAGCGTGTTTAAGTGCTCCGTCACTGAAGTAGATTCTGACATCCGGAGAGTGTACAATTTCATCTTAAGGAAAATTTTATTGTGCAACGATGTGGCCTCATACAATTCGGTGAAATGATCTCATATCTCCTTAGCTGTCTTCTTCTCCTCGATGCTTGACAATACTTCATCTGCTAATGCTAAATGAAAGTTTGCCAAAGTATTCCCATCTATTTCGATCCATTTGTTGTCATCTTTGAAATCTATCGGCCTTTCACTGATAGCTGCTATACAACCGTCTTTCCTCAGGATGGCCTTCATCTTCAATTTCCACAATGAGAAATTTCTCCCATTGAACTTTTCAATATCAAATTTCGTTGTCATAGCTTCTATTACGGATAGCTCCAACTATTTTACTATCGTGAATAGTTATCTGGAACCTTCAAAGAATGGGTAATACCTTCTTACTTTCTTATGTCAGAGGATCCACCTTTTGGTGGCAACCACAAAGACAATAAGTAGATATTACACACTCTAATATGGCTCTTGATACCCATTGTTGCGGAACACGGCTATCTAATAGAGCAAAATCGCAACTGATAATTTGAGAAAATAAAAATAAAGATAAAGAAGACACAAATTTTACGTGGAAACCCCTTAAATAATATAGGGTAAAAACCACGGACAACGGTAGAAGAATTTCACTATGAGAAAATAGGAATTACAACTTCTCTCGATCTAACAATTGGAGAAAACAATAACAATTCTCTCTTGATAAAAAGGAGAAAACAACTCTCAAGAAAACTCTCTAAATTCTAGTATTGGGAGAAAGCTATAATGATTT